TTTCAAAACAAAGCTATTTTTTATAATTTCCTATACCGGAATTTCGTCCAGAGAAATGTCTGAAATAAAATATTGACATATTACAGTAATAATATTTTTGATCGGTTATTGTTACTATAAAATATTTATTTATTTCTTGTGTTCATTGAGAACAAATGTTTTGTTATGGGAATTCTGTTCCAGTTTTTAAGCAGACATGCTTTGTAATGATTAGCATTTAAGACCATTTGTTGTTGGGCTGAGTTTGTAAACACTTATAGGCCAAAGACGGATGTCTATAACAACATATCTGAGTCACACGTAGGCGGAGTTGACACTAGAGACCCGTGTGCATGAATAAAGTTTCATTTTCACCTCGTTAACTTGATTTCTGTTCGTTGGAAATGCTAGACAGATTTGGATTTCTACAATTGTATTTAGTGCAGGGTAACACAATTTTATTTTTATGAAAAATAGTGACGGATATAACGTTAATAAGAGAAATAAAAATAAAGTACCTGTTCTTGATAGTTGTCTTCATAAAGTCTCAAATTCATTTACGGGGCAATGTATACGATTTTACAATAAGATATTCAAAATTGACATTTACGAGTTTTAAAACTACAAGAAACAAAATTTTATACTAAAGGTATAAAATTTTGCTACTTCTGCTTACTTGGATGATAAAAATCCGAGGTAGTGACGCGATTAGCTCTTTCAAGTATTCTCGATCTAAGGTGTTTAAATTAAATATTGTAATGATAAATGTATTCAGATGTATATTTACAAAGAGCAAGCCCTACAGTTTCCTGTTAATTCTTCTCAGGGGAATCTGCCTTACGAATGAGCAGTAGAGTTTAATCAGTATGACGATTTTAAGTGTAATTTGCTTGCCTATGAAATAAAGCTAATTTTACTTTGACTAAAAAAAAGAAACCTATGTACTATTTCAGTCGATGCGACAGACGTCAATCGCAGCATGCTGACGACCACAACACTATGCAAAATAGTAGAGCAACAGTATCTCAAAAATCGTTTTGACCTGTTTCTTAAGTGAGAATAAATTAAATTTGAATTCATAGTTTAGATTTAAGAGTATATGCCATACTTAATATACTCAAACTTATTCGTTACTTCTGTTCTGCCAATAAAATTAATCGATGAAATGATTGGTACTATTGTTTTGCCATGCTATTTAAATCGAGTTTTCAAATGAAACTACTGAGAAAATTAAAATTATTGTTATTCAGTCTAAAATTGATTTTTTCAGTTCGTCGTTGGTTATTAAGGATAATAATAATAATAACGCACACACTCAGAGCACCGTACTTGGAAAATCCTGTATCGCGGGTGCCATGGGCACACACATAGGTAGACAACCACAAACTATACGCAAAACCACGAGAGAAATAAGCGTAGGCCATACAAATATTTCTTCCATTCTGGGGATTGAATCCGGGACCTCTGCGTGGCAGTCCAGCATAGTAACCGTTCGGCCATCGAGGCAGTTATAAGGAAGGCAAAGGAGGGCAAGTAAAACATGAATTGTCGTTGACCAGTATAGGCGGCAAAGTACTTGTACTTATGATTTTACTCCATGTTTGCTCATCATTGGTCCATGTTTGCTCATCGTTGGCACCACACTCACTAGAGTAAATGTGACCCGGGCAACTTGGGTATACCAGGGCGCGCAGTTTGAGATATTGACATGCCCGGAATTGTGGAGGGGAAGACCAACTAGCCGGAGCCGGTGGCCAGATTTATTGCCGGCTATGCAGCAGAAGACAGAAAGTAGGTAGTGAGTTATTTGTGTAGGTAGTTGGGTAGTGTTGTAAGGAACGAGTTCTTGGTGTTGGACTTCGTTCTACCGTATCGGCTCATCTTGGATGAGGTTGTGTTTTCGTCCATACAAGTCGCAGTATTTATTTACATTACATTTATTTCCTCTTCATATTTGGTGTCGGTTTTCTTGATTCCATTTAGTTCTTCAAATTTACCCCTATCTTTTATTTGTTTATGGTTCTACTCCATGTTTTTTAATAATTTACAAAATGTAACTGCCAGGCCCGAAAATGAATATTATTTTCGTTATAGATTATTAACACTTCACGCCTGGATTAGCAATGGTCAATCATAAGTGTGAAAATAAATAATTGAAGTTAATGAGTTTAGATTATTCGTTGATAACCACGACTTGAAAATGTTACGGTAATACCAATGACTGAATGAATGAAGGAGCTTAACGAAGAGCCGCTCCCTATAGCTACTGAAAGTTGACCATTTATTCTTATCTCTTATTTTTTTGTTATATAATTCTAAGTAAAATGTAAAACTGCATTTAATTTATTTTAACAATTCAGAATTTTATTGAAACATGTCGTTGATGTTTTTTAATTGACTTCAAAAACAGGAGGACTTTCTCAAATTGCCTGTATGTTTTTTTTGTATGTATGTTACGCATCCCTCCCGCATTTGAGAATCGATTTTGATGATTCTTCCTTTGTTCGAAAGTTTGAGGTACCCACCTCAAGTAGTGGTCTCATTTAAATTTGAAGAAAATATTCCACCTAGTAAGGGTGGCAAACTAGGATGGATGAATGACTTTCGAGGTCAGTTTTTGTAGTACTCAGTACTGAGATTATTTGAAAATAAATATTGCGTATAAAAACTACGCATTTAAAGAAAATATTTTTGCACATTTTGTTTCTTTCGGCTCTAAAAATATATGCATTTAAAAACCAATAGACATGTATGTTGACGATAACGTATATAATTCAGTGATTGTTTATAATATGCTTGGTTGCAATAAAGTTGAAAAATTTTTGTAGTAAGTGAAATAATTATTGGATTTAATAAAACAGTTTTGCTTAATGCATTAAACAGTACGTTAAGTTTGATTTGTATAGCGTGCATATTTATTGTGTCAGTATTTTCATTGCTACTATAATATTAAAAAAATAACTTTTCTATATTGTTTCGGATCTGGGCGTTTGTGATACCGTCGCGGTCGTTGTTTCCAATTTCCATAACACAAGAGCTTTAGTTACTTACTTTGGGATCAGAGCAACGCATGTGACGTTGTATAATATTTATTTATTTAAAAATGAAACTTCCTCCACCCTTCAATTTTTGTTTAATAAAATATAAGTGCGCATTTCACCTCCATCTCACCTGATAGAAAGTGACGATGAGGTCGACGATGGAAAATTGCACACCTAAATAATGCCTATTCACTCTCGCCTTGAAAAGTCCCAAGTTATAACGTTTAGGGAACATGTCTGCAGGCAGGGAATTCCACTCCATAGCCGTTCGTCATATATATATGGAAGCGTAACGCATCAATTCAATTCTTTATTGCATTTACCATAATGTTACATAGATGGGATAGTAAAAGGCTTATAGCTAACTTATAGCTTCGTGCGAATCTTTGGAATATCCACAACTTAGGGGTGGAACTTAAGTCAACGTCTACGATGATGGAAACGCTCCCGGTGCTGGAAACGGGAAAGCGGAATTAAATCGTGTATTTCCATCGCACACTCTCCGGGATATATATAGCCTGTAAAATACCGATAAGCAGGCAAATTTACGGCGGTGTTTAAGGGTCTGTAGCTTCGCCTGCACTAATTCCGAGTCGTATAAGCCTCTTGCCACTTTATTGTTGTCAATTGAATCCAAAGTGGCCAGGTACGTAGCAGAGCCATCCCAATGGTGGCAGCAGTACTCCATACACGACCAGACCTGTGCTTGGTACAGCAGAAGCAACTGTCCCGGTGTAAAGTAACGCCTCACCTTGGAAAAGATGTCAAGCTTCCTTGCTGCGTTTTTGGGCGTGGATTCAATGTATCTGCCGAACTAAGTGAAAGGCTGTGGCCTTTGTCTATTCCGATGGGAAAAGGGCGTAAAAAGTGTAAAGTATAGAAGGCATTCCCGTTGCTAAATAACGTAACTCAAAGCTCCACTCCTTAAACTTTCTTCTTAGAGGTGACCCGTGTTCAGCAGTAGAATGTATGGATTGATATTGATTGATTGATTTTGTACAAAATTAACTGACGAATTCAAAAATAACATTGTAAATCCATTTAGTGGGTTTGAATAGTAATCGGTAGTTATAAGAAATAATTACAATATTCATGTTGCCGACCAAAGTGAACATTATTATATCAAAACGTGAAATAATTTGTTTACTTATTTGCAAATATTTTCTCTGCAGAAGACCAATATTAATTTAGTAACAAGATATAATGATTTTGCACGTATAATGAGCAGGTCTTTTATAAATAGCGTAATTAATTAACTTAGACACACCGTGCGTCCAAAATCGTGACTCAAAACGCTTTCTTTGCCTTTCCCCGTTCTTTTATTGGAATTGTAATCATTTTGGCGGCAAAATATTTCGCGAGATTAGGAAATTTAAAACTTGTTTGGTGAGAACGGTGTGGCAGCGCAGAATAAAAATCATTTGAATCGGAAAACTGACCCTGATTTATTTGGTTTTGTGAGATTCCTCCTGCATGGAATAATCCTAATAGCTTTTTGCTAATTTTGCTTCACTATATAGGTACAGGCAACTACCCAGGATCTAATTCAGCTGTTAAAAATAATTACAAATAAATTGTGTCTTTACGTTCTCTAGTTTATTGTCTATGTGCACTTTAATAATAATACTTTTCATATTCTACTTCCATATTCGAGTAATACCGTAATGTACTAATCCTAATAAGGACTAACTTTACGCAGTAGGTACCAAAAAAACGTTAAGTATGTTAGTGAGAAATCAATGCTAATCAAGTTTTTTAGAATACGGGTCCTTCAGCCGGCCAATAATGAGTCATTTTAATAGTATGATGGTAAAAAGAAAAATGCGACTATAAAAAGAAATTATAAATGGGATAATGTTAAAAAAGGAAATGATTGTTATAAAATTATATAAAACAAAAACAATTGAACACTTACAGTGAAAAGTGCGAAGTAACACACCTCCGTCAGCTGCATGTTTCACCTCTGATTACATTGACTGATGTATTTTTAAATTTATCTTCAGGCAAATGAGCTACTTTATTATGCTTATTTTAAAAATATCTTGCAGGCGTGTGATCACCGCGAAAGCTTCTGAGATAGTGCTGCGTGTCATGTATCAGATTACTGTTGTTTGGCCAACTGTGACAACAACTGTTTATAGAGTTGCCGCTACCACTTACAAATGATTTTATTGCTACTTGTTATTGACATGGTTAACTATATTTAGCATGTTTTATTTTTGTAACTTTGTTGTTATTTACAAATATTTGTTTACATAAAATCTGAATATAGGTTTTTAACGTGATTTGTATCTATACGATACTTACAATAAGTAATAACTTGGGATAAAACTACGTTATACGCTTTTTAGTAAAATGATTAAAATCTATTGGATGCCAAATTTGATTAAAGTTTAGAAAAACTAACTAATTTCATTAGGAGTGTTTTGTATTAATTTTAAGTCTTTTGTATTATGAGACATAATTATTGTTTTTTTAATTAGTTAGCTTTATTTAAATACGGTTAATGAAGTCATATATAATGGACAATATGACAACGATTGTATAAGTGAAACTTGACTCGAGAAACACGGCAGGGAGCAAAATTAACGTAACAAAAAGTACCTCATAGTTGAGAAAAACATATTTTGTCGCAATCATTGGGTGTACCTATGCAAATACCCCAATGATGCCATGATTTTTTTTTTCATAAAAATGCTGGCATTTTAAACATTGGGGCCCTAGAGCCCCCAAGATTGTATATACTGATTTAATAAACGATAAAAAGGTACACAAAAACTTAGCGCCGAAAATAACTATAAGCATTCTTTTTTTATAATATCAAGTGACAGGACGAACAAGTCGGGCGCCTGATGGTAAGCTACATTCCTGTCCATAACAATTCAGTGCCACTCAGAGCTTTAAATCGCAAAGATGTGAGGGGCACTGCCACTGCGCACGTCACCCTGAGAGATAAGTTGACAAGCCCCATGTGCCCAGTAATTTCACCAGAACCCTTACCCTTCAAAACCGAAAGACGGTAATGGTGACGGATTACTGCTTGGCAATAGAAATATATAAGGTGGCAGTACTTCCCTGGACGAAAATGTTCACAAGAAACTCTACTGCTACTAAATGACTAAATTATAAAATTACTAAATTATTACAACCTACTGGTGCTACCTCATTGCTATTCTTGTGCCTTTTTCCGTATTAAAATTGTCATGTTCACGCATCAATGTCCGAGTCCTAGAACCCGTAATTAAGAATTATTATACGTCTAGATCAGACGTTTAGATCAGACGTCATATTTATTATTTTTTTTACTTTGCAACCCCGCCAGATGGCAATACTATACGTAAAGTGGCACTATGGGAGGTTTCCGATAGTTTAAAACAATTTTTTGAATACGGTCGTCATGCAAGCGTTTTTTTTATTCCTTGAACCCCTTCTTAAAGAGCAATTATGCGCCAGACAGGATTGGCTCTCTTTATGGGATGGACTTAATGTTCATTTGTATGAAACATCTCTACGTAACCATTTGTATGCTTTAAAGTTGTGTATTCGTATGTACTGTTCCTACATGGAGAAATTTAGAAAAACTATAAATGAATTGTATGCTATTATTATATTTCTATAAGGGGGCATTTAACAACTCTATTACCAGCACCCAACTATATCTAATCACAACACGTCATCCGCTCTCACATCTTAGAGTCTACGCACACGGCGTAATTTATACGGGCCGACGTCATGCGTTTACGCGTCGTAACGCGCGTCACCTGCGAATATCTACCGTCCTCTAGCTAAAACGGCTAAGTGGCTAAATAATTTTTTGAGATATCATAAATAACCATAACCCAGTTTTAGGATATTGTAATTGTTTAATGATATTTCAGCTATGCGGTGTTAGGGTAAGTTCTGATTAGTCGAACAAGTTAACTAATTTTAACTGTTTTTAAAAGAGAATTTTGTACTGTATTTTTTTTCTATTTGGAACGGATATTTGACCATTTGTCACTTAGCCGTTAGTTAGCCTTCGCGTTTTAGTTAGTGGACGGCAGATATGCGCGCCGCAGACGCGCTGTAGCCGCGCGAATGTAATGCGCATTTTGGTAAGAGATACTTTTAATTTTAGTTTTGTTTGTTAATTTCAGTTAGTTTTTAATATGAAGCAATTACATAAAATTCTAAGTATAACCTCCCTTGGAGTACATAAGCTTCTTGCTTGCAACGCGATGTTTGCGCGTGTTTGATTCCGCGCGTCGTCAGCACATATTAAATGCGCCGTGTGCGTAGCGTTTTTTGTGGCTCTTTCTGTTTATTAATACTGTCTACTAAACAACTCTTTTGTGCAACAAGAAAATGGGATGTTTATTTTTTTTATTTTTGTTTCGAATGACCGTACACAATGTTTGTTTTGTTTTTTGTTGGTAACGATAAAATGTGGTACATATGTTTAACATTTGTTGATATTTTACGAAACAAGGTGAAAAGTATTCAGTTACCGATACAAAATATATCGATATATTTGTGAATTAATTTTGATGTGGAAATTAACTCGTTTTAAGCGTAATTTCTGAATGAACTCTTATGTTAATGAAAATTTAGTGGCCACAATTGTTTTTTATATAGGGTGTAGGTACATCTTTTCTTTTGGGCGAGTTGATAGTGATAATTTCAATAGCTAGTGGTGTTACTCTTACTTTTATGGGCGATATAATTATGACAACGACTGTCGATGTGAAGATATAGAGTGATAAATCGTTACAATATTATTTGTAAATAATCATTAATAGTAATAATAGTAGTAATAATAATAATAATAATAGGCCTTGGGAGAGGCGAGAGTTTAAAATAAACACGAAAATAATAATAATAATCTTTTAGGCTTTGGGAGAGGCGAGAGTTTAAAATAAATACAATAATAATAATAATAACAACGCACACACTCAACATAACCCCGCACTAGGGAAAACCTGTGTCGTGGGTGCCACACACACATAGACGACCACAAATTACACCCAAACTCACGAGAGAAATAATTGTAGACCATACAACAATTTCTCCCGGCCCGGGAATCGAACCTGGGACTTCTGCCACAGAGGCAGTAGTTAGGTGAGCCCCCCCCGGGATTTGAAACCAGGATATCTTTAAATTTTCAAAACTTGTACTGTTACTTTGTATTGCAGTTAACTATCAACGATATAATGCGTATGTGTTCCTATTCTGTAGTTCTGGTATAATCATATCATCTGATCGCTGTTGTGAATAAATGCGGACGATGATGCCAGGGTTCGTATATTCGTTATAGTTCGCAAATAATTAATAAACCTACCTTCACCGCTACTTCCACACGTAGGTATGCCATTTCCATCTTACAGGAGTAGCAGCTTGAAGCTCTACGTCACACTCCTTTCCCACTTGCATTGCGATGGTGAGTGTCAAAACTGCAAGTGTCCTGAGATGTCATACTTTTTAAAATAACACGAATGGTTTGAGAGAGAAATAGCGCAATATTATAATATGTGACCAGGTGGTATTGTAGAGTATAGTGTCTATTTTTCATTTATTGTTTGTTTAAAATGTGAAATTAAAACGTATATATATATATTAAGTAATATTAATAATTATTAAACAGCAAGTATGCGACATAAACTTTGAAGTTATTTTTTCTTGCCTGTTTGGTTTTTCATCCAATACTGGGAAAAACGTTTATAATCGTAGCAAAGACAGAAATTGAGTTATTGACGAGTTCCATTTTTGTGTGGTACTCCTCTAAAATCCCAAGTAAGATCTCTAAAATATCTTATGTCCAATATCTGATTTTTGGAATAGAAGAGCAAATACCAAAGATTCATATGAATAAATTACTTTAAAATGTGCGTGAACTAAATAATATCAAGCGTATTTAAAAGGGCGCAGACGGTATCTTAATCATGATCTCTATAAATACGTTAGTAACATTATGTATGTAACCTGTATGTACTTGAAGGGGGGGTTGACAGCTTAGGTACTAATAACTTTTTCACCTCAGCAGCTCGAACAAGGCTATTTTGCTGTGTGAAATCAGTGAGCAAAATCTTATTTTGCTCACTCCGTGAGAAAAAGTTGCTTTTTGCTTTTTAAGTGGAGACTTGTCATTTAATGCGAAGGGGTCTAATACAAATTCGACATATTTCAAAATCAGTCGCTCCGTCCCTTTCACTTCATTACAAGAAAAAGGAAAAAGAAAATTATGGTTTATTCGTACTTCGATATTTAAGCTACATAGTAGACCCCCACAAAATGGCTGAACGAGTGCACGTTCGGAAACTCGTCAATTCATCTAAAAGATAAATTATGTGAGAAATACAAATACGATTTTATACTATGATAATTTAGTTTTTACAATTTTCATTAAAAATAAAGCAAGTGTTGCAATAAAAATATGCTAAATTTATAACGTCAATTAAAGATAACAATATTTACAATGTGTGATTTCAATGAATACAAGCGAGAACGTTCCGGAACGCAATAAATAAAAGCGCGCTTTCTTTTTTTTTTAATTCAAAATTTCTTATTTGCTTGCGATAGGTACTTCTTTGATAGTTAATTGGATACCTACCTACGTAATAAAATAGAAAATATGAGCGATTCCAGTGAAGACGACAATTTTTTAACTCCTCCAGAGTTAGTTGAAACTGTTAAAAATGCTGAACTAAGTTTCTTGCCTAGTAAATCTCGTGAAAAGTACCTGAAAGTCTACGAACATTTTGACAAATGGAGGCACGAAAAGGGCGCAGGAAACACTATGTCGGAAACTGTGCTTCTGTCTTATTTCATTGAAATGTCGCATACAAAACAGCCGTCAACGATGTGGAGTATATATTCGATGTTGAAAGCTACATTACAAACTAAAAATAACGTCCATATAAACACTTACGCAAAGCTGATTGCGTTTTTGAAAAGATCGGCCGTCGGCCACAAATCAAAAAAATCGAAAGTTTTCACGGCTGCTAATATTGAAAAATTTCTTAATGAAGCTCCAGATTGCACTTTCCTAGCCGCAAAAGTAAGTATTGAATATTATTACTGTTGTCGTAGCGTTATATTTTAATTGTTAATACAATTTGGACTTTGGTAGTTATGTTATCAATTTCTATCAACATAATTATACTTACCTACTTAAATGTGTTGTTTTGGCGACTTGTATTGGAACTTTATGGTTAAAAATAACGCTACATATTATGAGAAATCCACGTTTAAGACTGCTCTAAAAGACACAATACTTATTGACGTTTTATTTATGTTTCAGGTCATCCTTATCATTGGAATAAACGGAGCATGCCGCTCCAACGAGTTATTGAATCTAACTCCTAATGCCATTGAACAACATTCCAGCGACCTTCTTTTGATTAACCTGCCAAATACGAAAACAAATATAGACAGGTCGTTCGTCGTCCGTGAGGAATACGCACACGTTGTCCAGAAATATAAAGCATTGCGCCCTCCCAATACGATCACAGACCGCTTTTTCATACAATATCGTAATGGAAAATGTACGCGGCAGCCGATGGGTATTAATAAAATAGGAGCGACTGTACGAGAAATCGCAACATTTTTAGATTTGAAAGAGCCGCAGCTATACACTGGCCACTGCTTCAGGCGAACATCAGCCACTCTTTTGGCAGATGGAGGAGCTGACCTCACAACGTTGAAGCGCCATGGCGGTTGGAGATCAAATACAGTGGCTGAAGGATATATCGAAGATTCAATAGAAAATAAATCAAAAATCTGTAAGCGTATTATAGATTCGATAAACCTAAAACAGACTTCGCATTCTTGGGCACAACCTAGCACCTCCAGTGATGCGAATCATACCCAAACCCGCCCAGAATCACCAACTTTTACGGTGCGGGAAGGGTCACAATCCAGCTCAACTCATAATGAAACCTCGACCACTACTCAAGTAGCAAACACTACGACGATTACTGTTCCAAATAAAACAGTAACTTTTAATCTACAGAATTGTACAAACTTCACGTTCCACTTTTAATTTTTTGTAAATTCTGTATTTTTGTAAATATACAATGATGCATTTGCTTTCATGACGTGTTTTTATTACTTGTCCCTTTAGTATATATATATGTTCTCGCTGCTGAGGTGAAAAGTTGTATGTATCACGCGAGAGCAAAGTTATTTTGCAGCTCGTATTTTTGAGTCCCTCGCTTCGCTCAAGATTCTAATTCTGAATCACTCGCTACGCTCGTGATTCAACTATAGAATCTTTCGCTTGCTCAGGACTCAAAAACAGCACTCGCACCAAAAAACGACTTTGCTCTCTTGTTGAACAAATAACTATTGTGATAATAGGTGTACTGGCATCTTATAACAAATAGGATTTACTTTTTTAATCATAATTGGAATTTCGATGGAACCTATTACACGTGTCATTTTTGAATTTTCTGTGCTTGGGAAATATTATAAACAATATAATATGTTAATTGTATCTCATTATATTATATTAAAAATATATAAACTCAAATCGTATCTTTATTCAAGTTAGCTTTGAATTACTTTCAGCGCCATCTATTACAATAAAACGAAATTTAAATACGCGGCCCGTCGCAACAGAAGTGTCCCTTCCCATTAAACGTAGCTGTTGACGACGTTGCCTGCGATTCTTCGTTGATTTTACGTTCTCTCAGAGATGGCGCTGCAGGGATGGTTTGAAGATCAATCATTACCAGACTGTTCGGGCGTGCTATGTTCAACAACTTCGCCGCTTCACTGATATTTTTAATTGTCTACTGATTGGGCAAATTAAATTTTTTCGTAGAATCTTCTTCGTGTATCTATACTTTAGTGCACATAATATTGTAAATTTACTTAATAGTTTTTGTGCGGGATTGACTTCAACAGCGGACACTTTTTTTAAAAGATGGATTGAAAAGTGTATTTTTTAAATCTGCAAACAAGGGATAAGAATGTACAGGAGTCAGTGGCATGAAAAATTTATTTGATGTTCTTTTAATTACAATATTTTTCTATGCTAAAATAAATACAGAAAATGTTGGATATTTTTTATCTTATTTATATATTCTTTTAAATAATTAAGAAAAATTATTCAATATTACACAATAAAGCATCTAAGACCTATTTACTATTTATATCGATTAAATTAGAGCAATTCTTTTCAGAATATTTTTTTTATAAATACTTGTAATCGTGAGAGTTTCAAATACGTGTTTAATTTGAACACAACATAATCTTAATTCACAAATTGCTTAAAGTATTTAAATCAGTTTATACATGTATTGAGAAGTACAATCAACATTAAATTTAGCAATTAACTATTTATTTACAACGTCGAGTGCTTTTAATGTAAGATTTATAAATATGACGATTTAAGGAAATCAGATTTCTTTCCTTTGAAATTTTATGTTAACGTTCTTCGACTGTTTGCAAAGTTTGTCGTACATAAGGACATAAAACTTCATTCATTGTAGTACAAATGGAAGATAATTTAATGGATCGATATACGAATGTGATTGAAATTATCGCAAATCGATAAACATTTAAATTATTTCAATCGAGAAGACAAAATAGTATATTAAGGTATGTACATTACGAAAATTGTTAAACGTGAAAATCTTAACACATTTTCTTTAGAATAATATTTGAATATAAAATATAAAAATGTGTATGAAAAATTAAAATTTCAGAATGGGTGCCTCAATTAAAATCCCCTTTTGTGATTAATAATTTACTGTATTGATTTTAATCATAAATTATTCTTTTCTGTTGTTCCGAAATTAAATGTTCAAGAAGTTTCTTTGAAGTATTCTACGGTTCGGGAAATATTTAATTTTTAATTGATAGTTATAATAAGGTCATAAGAGAACATTATTCGTAATGTAATATCAGTGTTAAACTACGCTTAACTTAGTCGACGACGGAAGATATCTGATCAGCTTCACCTGCCGTGCCAACGTCGCCGATCACTGTAGTACAACGAAACAATATTTGTAACCGACAAATGTAAAAAGATATCTCAATTACAAAATATAATTAAAGAGAATTCTTCTTACATTTTTTTATATAAAGTTAAGTTAGGTAATAAGATGATAGCGTGGAAACAAAGGCACTCGCTGTGTATGTACAAAACGTGCTATAAACGTTGGCATGGCGGTGCTTTGATGTCCCCGTAAGTATGGAAGATTTTGAACTAAACAATTTCAATGAGTTGGTGGCAAATAAAATGAGTAATTAATTTACGACTATTCGAACGACCACATGACGCGTAATGTACTACCAGTATAAACAGGTACTATTAAATTTAGTGCAGCTATGATCACTAATGCCTCCGTGGGTGCTGGGGCAGTGCGTACTAAAAATTTGACCTTCAATAAATGTAAATGAGATTTTAAAACGTTTTTTTTTAATTTTTTGCTATTTGCAAAGTTATGTTTTCTAATTCTTTTTATGATTCCAATGAAAAATAAATAAAAATGAGGCCGTTATAAAATTGCCTCACGAGCCTGTCGGTATATACGGCTGTCACGGGAGTTTTGTACAGAAACGATTTGACGTTGAAACTTGAAACTTGGCATAATAATCATGTTAACCCATATGAGTTATTATTACTTGATTTTTTACATGATCGTATCTAGGTACCAAGAAATATTTTCTTGGTACCTTTATGATCATGCGCCACATTGTACAAAAAGGTAAGGAGTTAAATTTTTTTTGTTGTTTTTTGTAATAAAATTATTTATTGCAAAAATAACGTTAATAAAAATACCAGCGTCCATTTGTAAAAGTCGCGACAAGTAATTTAGTTAGGTTACGTTACTGTTTGGTTTGTAAAAGAGCAATTTGATTCGGAACTCTGCGCGTCAGTCCGACTCTCATTTAGTCGGTTTTTTCAAATATTTTCACAAAAATTATTATTTTAAGGCAATACGGTTTTTTTTTTTTTTTTTTTCATTGCTAATTAAATTGATTCGTTTTTAACACAATATTTTTTAAACATTTAGGAATTTACTTTCAATTTGACTATTTTTTTTTTAATCTAGTGTCACCTAATTAGAGACTATGCAATTACTTACGAGGACATTCTATTGTAAGGTTGTGATACAATAAATTACATTATATTCAATAAAGTACGTTTATAACTGCGTGCTTAATATTGATATGCCTTCGTTTTAGCGTTCCGTTCGGAAGGCGCAGTGGCGACAACGACGGTAGTTTACTAAAAATGTGCTTGTTGCTGGAATATGATACCAAAAAGCGTTTCAGGCAGAATAGTTACGTAATACGATATCACGTACAAATTGACAAAATAAAAAAACACCGCCACTACGCCCCATAAAATAAATTTAATATTCGCAACTCTGATAGATAACACGCAAAGCATAAACCTCAATATGTAAGCACAAGCTCTCATATTATTAAAAACAATATTTACAAACCAGTAAACATTAGAGATAGGTAAAAATTTGTGAAACATTGCATTGCGTGACGTAATACTACTTAAATAACCTACAAAAATGGACTATCAATTTAATTCATAATATTTGGATATACTTCTCAAAGTTATCTTTATAAAATATACAGTTATAAATATTTTATATACATGGAATTATAAATGGGAGGACCCTGTTTAGTCTAAAAGTTTAAGACCTAGAAGTCTGAAATAGATATAATAATCTACGGACCACTGAGCGAGGTATCTTTCAGGAGTTCAGGAAGTCGTCTGGTAAGTCTCTGGTAACAAATATATTTCATTTTCGTACTGTCTGCTCTAAATGAAAATTTCTAAAGTTATTGGATATTATTTTCCACTGAAACGTGGAAAAATCTGAAACCAATATAACATTTTCCAGCTACTTTCGATTGTCTCAAAAAATACTTTTAGTCATATTTTTTATTCGATATTTCTAGCTAGATCTTCGACTCAACAATAAAATTTATTGTACGAAGTTCACTTGAGAATAACCAGCTATTATTTATTCACGGTGCTACAACTATACATATACATCTGATTGCACATATAAAGCCAAAGACGTTCACTGCGTTGCTTCAGCGGTGTGATAATGAGATGGATGGTAACGCCAAACCTGTGGTGGAGAGTATTCTACAGGTGCTTCTTGGACCGTGCCTCCCGCACCCCACATGAGCACTGTTTGTCTTGGCATCTCCGAGGCTTGCGTCTGTTGCATCCTCTCCTGTTCTGTCGATCCACTCGAGCCGCCTGGACTAGGGCCTGGTACTACACTCGGCGATCTTCTTTCTTGTCCCGTGATTGGACTCATATATCGTCCGGTACTATCGACATAAGTATACTCTCTCGAGGGCGGCCGATGATAAGTTGGTGCTACCTCGTACCCAGGAGGCGGAGCTGGCTCTAAAAATCCATTAGGAGCGTACGGAGTGTAATGGTATGATAACGGTTTGTATTGATGGAAAAGATTATCTGCTGTCAGGAATCGGTCGTCTAGCGGCGGCGGAGCGTAGTGCAAACCAGGCGTTGGTGGATATTCCCCATAGGGCGCAGTGTATGCTCCATTTAAGTTTGTATACGCTGCTGCGACGGCATCTGCTGCTAGATAATCTACTGGAGGTGGCGCTGGTGTTGAAGGCACTTTTCGTTTATTTCTGCAGGTTGACAGAAAGTCTCTTAGTTGAGTCTTGTATCTTCTAGCAGCTCGTGGAGGAGTTGTCACGTTTGACTCACACCCTGACAGCTGTTCTGTCTCCGAAAAATATAAACTGGTAAGACCAGTGTCGAGGTAGCTCACTTTAAAATCCATGGTCCTTTTACCAAGGAGGTCTCTACCTTCTTCTTCCCTGAAATGAAGAAAAACTGCCTTATAATTACATGCGTAACAGCTTAAAAAAGTTTAATCGAAGTTCGTGAAAGAGTACTAACTACGTTCGTATGAATATTTTGTATAATTGGTCAATAGATTAACAGTAATGAATGTTAATCTAATTCGCAAGCATTATACTTTGGCGCACAGCAACTTCGCAGTTTCAATCACACGTTTTCGCTAGCTCTTTTATAAATAAATACATAGTCGCAAACATGTACGCTATTAAAATGTAATGTGGTACTAAGGCGAGACGTCATTTTTAGGTCAAAACCAAGTCAGGACCAGTGTCAAAAGGAAAGGGAAAGAGATAATTGAACACTATTGGAAGGTTACTCACATGAGAGGCCGATGCGTGCTTATAACGAAGTCTGGCTTTGAATTCTTGTAGACAAGTCGCGATGACGTTTGCAGCCACTGCCACTGCCCGTCTTTTGTTTGGAAGCGGTATGCTATCATGCCGGAAGCACCAGTTTTCAATACTGGAACAAGGAGAACCAGATTGTTGAATAAAAAAAGTTTCTTACATACCTACAAGAAAAATTCTTGTGAAAATAGGGGCTACAATTCAATTTGTACGGTTTGTACAATAATTGTTTTTCTTGCTTGTGTTTCATGTTTCTTTAAGTGTTTTAAAAACTAAGGTAATTATGACATATTACTTACATTCTTGATGAGCACTAGCCACATAGGCCAAGTCGTCATAATGCACTAAATCATAACCACCCATATTAGCTAATTCTGCATCTGTGTAGCCTAGAAGCATTTTACCCCTGGAAAAAATACAAATAAAACGTGTTATTTATATCTAATCTCCATTTACGGTTTATCTAAGTCATAGAGCTTTGGTTCGTTGATGTAAAGTATAATTAATCTATTAGTTCCACAGCAATTCGAATCCTAACAATTAACAATTACATATGGACTTTGAAAAAAATTTAACGCTTGGCCTTCTCTTTCATTTGTTTCTTTTATAATTTTCAGAAGACTTACTATCGTTTTGTTAAATTTGAATTTTATTTTAGTAAGGAAGTATAAAATTGGTTTTTCTTCATTTTTAGATATGCTGACGCAGAAAGAATCTTTTCATGACTCACCTTTGATCCATTGAGACTAGAGACAGGTCAAGTTTATGTTTGCTCTTGAACATGACTTCTTTTTGCGGTATCTCGAGTAAACTTGGCGGTCCAAATGGAGCACATATGGCAAATAAAGCCAACGGTGGTTCTTCTGTCTTCTTATTTTGACCATGTAGCACCTTGATGCGACCCCTGATGTCGAGCCTCTGCAGAGTTCCAGTCACACTCGTATTTATATTATGAAGTGTATCAAAAGACATACTACATTCGCAATTATTATTGTTAGCCTAAACACAATACAAATATGGAAAGATTCGCAAGGCATTCGCTTGTAATTAAATCAACTATATCGCATTGGCATCGTAATTTCTATAAATACATTTCGTCATTTATGCACAAAGCTTTGTGGTATTACTTACCAGAAACCCGGATGTGTTGTCGAGCAGACATCTAAATCGGACTGTAAAGCTTCTCTCTAGCAGGTGCGTTCTGTCAGGTCTTAGTACATCTTGCAGAGTGAGACTACTTGCTTCTGGAGGTAGAAAAGAATTCCACAGCAATTGTCTCTGCAATTCCTCCCTGTCTTCAGAATGGACCAGCTCGTAGACTGATTGGTGAACTATATCGGACTAAAGATAATTTTTAGTAAATTTAAATGAAAATTTAGTTTTGTTATGTTATAATGATTAGTACAAAGATAGAGAGAACACAAAAAAAATTCTTCGATCCGGCTGAACTCGAACTAATATTATTATTAATTATAATAAACGTGTGGAGTAATTTCACGAAAATGCTAATGTAATATCATGGTAATAAAACATATATTCAATAAATTTAATATGTTTATTATTATTTTTGAACATTTTTCAAGTGCATTTCTGTAATTTCTGATTTGAAAATATCTTGAAAAACATTAAATTATTCAAGAATTGTATATAGAATGGAAGTGAATAAAGAACCTGTCTATCTAGTTATAATTATATTTTTTCAGCGCAATTTTGTGCATCCATGTAATAAATTTAATATAAATGTACATCTGATTAATGATCATTGTATTTTCATTGTAATTCACTAACAAACCTAACAAGATAATCATTTCACAAGGAAATATTTATAACCATAAAAAGGCAAGTCATAACTGAACCGTAAATCAATAAAGCATTGATAACCCTACAAATCGATTTAACCTCAATCATTAAAGAATCATCTGTAACGAAGATAGACAAGTTAATTTTAACCTTAACAAAGGCGAATAGCTACTTTAGCCGTGTATAATAAGGTTGAATTTGGATTGTGAACGATAAGAACGCATTTTTAACACGTCATATGCAACAAAGACCCATGTAAATAGTGTGGATAATATGGCAACAACGTGGTGCAAGTATAAGACTAATTGATAATCAATGGGGTCCCTCAAGGCGCCAAACTCGGGCCCCTCTTTCGTCGCTGACATGTAAATGATTCATGCATCAAAAATACCCTAAATGTAGTTAGGAATGGGGTATACCGGTAATAGTAGAATGTGAGTTCGAACATATTGCGATGGCATTAAACATCAGAGGATGATTTGTTAGGTAATTGCTTTTTGTTCTCTACATACAGGGGTAGGGCACGGTTGCTATGGTTCATTACAATGTTTTGTTGATATGCCTTTGTTTTGTAGACGCGATTCTTTTTCTTCCATTTGTAATTTTTCCACTGTTTTCATTTCAGCTTGGAAATGAAATTGTTTTTTGGTTTCTAACCCGAGTATTTTTTTGCAAACAATCCAAAGTTTCAGGCCTTTAGTCAGCCGTGACCATTTGTTTGTCGTAAAATTAAATATTCGAGTTCTTAGGTTTTCACGATTTTTACACATAGGAAATGAAATGATTTTTCCGGATTTAAATCGCGTATATTTGTTTTTTCATATTTATTATATTTAATTTGTTATTATTATTGATACGAAGATCGAACAAGCATAAAGGAAAAATCCTCAATCTTAATTAATTCTTAATATCTTTTTTGAATTTAAACTTTTGAGTGTTCTTATTTGTAGAAATATTTTCTATCGCCTAAACAAGAAAATGTCCCATATGTATGCAAAATCTGTTTTAAATCTTAATCACGATTCGGACTTATCGTGAGGTGCGTTACTGTCTTACCCTACAGTTCAATTTATAAAGACCCCCAACCAAAACATCAGGCCATTATGCTGGTAATGTAAAATGGCGGATCAATACCCGACCACCTGGTGCGTAGGCTTGAAGTTAATCTAGTCGCGATTCACTTCCCTACTTGGGTAATAGTCGTAATAACAACGTTGTAGGGGTTATTTTTAGTAGAGTCGAATGACAATGTACAAACTGTTAGTGCTATTTAAATTATTTCAGTAGCTTGGAAGATAAAATTACGAACGTTGCGCTACAAATGACTAACAAAATAAAACTACTAAAACTTATTCTACAAATACAAAAATATTTATTATTCTAATAGCTAAAGTGAACAAAGATGTCATGTCAATCACAAGAATTTGGCAGACATAACCGAATACCTATCAGATGTAGGGTAACACCGACTGTGAACTGACGGGTAATATAAAATCACTTTGGTAAAGTAACTTTACAAGATTAATGTTTGTCTCTAAACAGAAATCTCTACTACATTGTCCCTGGGTAGGGGTGTCACGTGTCTGGTCCCGACAGGAAGTAGCAAGTACCCTGGCCGATTTAATGATTTGTTTTAATCGTTCGCCACCCCTGGTAAAAATTTACAATTCAACGTAGATTATGGTGCTGTAAGATGTTTAAGTAGGTACGAAACCAGTCAAAGGTTAAAAGATACTGTCAAGAGATTCCGACATAAACAATGTATTTTCTGATACAATTAAGTTTTGTCATACGCTATAAGATCTATAAATTTTTGGAATGAAACGATTGTACGTGTATGGCTTTACAAAAAATCTGTAGGTAAAAATGCTGTGGTGTTACTGGTTATCCCAAAATTAACTACATTATAATTAGTTATAGTGTGTGAATACATATTTCAGTCGGCTAGAAAAACACAAGAAAGGCGTTTAATTATGGTCTTTCTAAAATACTAATCTTTGCCCAGTAATGTTACTCAGGTAACCGAATTACTCGGTCGCTTTGCGTACAAACAAAACAAAAGGCTATCGGGTCGGGGGTGAGCGAATAAAATTTATATACGATTGTGGTTGACTGAAACTTTTATAACAGGGGTTGGATTTGAAGCGAAATTGGGGTTTTTACTTCTGATAGCAATATTTCATTGTGAACTTTATTAGCTTTAATGCGAAGGGCATTTATAACAAGCACGTTTTAATGCATACGCTCCGTTTACTTTTTGGGGTTCGGTACATGTTTTAAGCGTACTATATTTTTTCACCTATGCAATCAGCATGGTGATATATTCAGCGTAATTTTTGACAATTTCAGTAAATGTGGTATGTTTAAAATGAAAGCTGATAGAAAATCAATAGAGTAAATACCCAAAAATCTTCACAGAGAGCTTTTTTAAATGAAGAGAAGAGGAAAAATGACATAAATAATGGAAGAATATTTGTACTTATCCATATAGCTAATGGTTAGGTAGGTAGTAAGTACGTAATTGTTTGGGAGATTTAAGGAACCCTTTGCAAATAAGGCCACCCAATCTCCACCGCAGTATATTCCAACGGTGATGTGACTTCGATAAAATGTTTTGCCGATAAACTAGGGTGGTTTAATAAAAGCTAAAGCCTTTTTAAGTTCAGTTATCGCGATATAATGAATATTTTTATGGAGTAACTTTTGTAGCATAATTAAATTTCGTCCGTTCGAGGCTGCTTATCTAAGTTTTCGTAAGTGATTAATAACGTTCAGATTAGGCTTTTTATTTGGAAAATAAGGATATTTATTCGTAGAAATACGCTATAATTCTTGGAGAAAATAGTTGTGGCTTTGTATATTTGTTTGTGAAGGACAGGTTATTGAAAATATTACAATGCGTGGCCTAGGTATTTTGGTTTTCAACTTTTCAGTTATTAGAGTTTTCAACATTCCAAAATTCATTTTATATACGTAGTCTAAATACTTATGCGTACGTGTAGTGTACCTCTAGGGTTGTTTTATGACTTAGCCAGCTGGTAGCTGATTCATTTTTATAGATAGTGAGTAACATTGTAAAAATACACTGTTGTACACCTTGAATGCAATTAGTACTCTACGCTCCGTCGCTTCATTTACGATACATATGTGAAGTACTAAAACAAAACCAACCTGATGAAAGCCTAGGTAACTTTCGATGCTGTGTGTCGCGAAAAATACTTCTCCTTCACACGTTAATATCATCAGGAAGCCATTGAGTGCCTGCAAAAAAACATTAGATACTGAGTTATTAGCAAATGATAATGTGTCAACGCGCAGGTAAAGATACATTATGATGGGAATTTAAGAAGGGTTTTGACTTTAAATGATTGTTGCAATTGGTGCGGCAAATTTTAAAACAGCGTGTCCTTGTTTTATCTAGGTTGACTCTGGTTAAACTGTCAGCCAAACAATTTTTCGGTAATGAAGCTACAAAAACAGCTACGTTTTTCCCAAAGACTTGAGTTTCCTAGCAATTTCCTCGGGGAGGCCGCCGCGACACTTGGCTGAGTTATGGGCCAAGTTGTTCGCTGAAATACCATAACCAAGCCCGTTTCCACTGTCTTAAAATTTATACAGAAAATGCTCAAGATTTTAAACTATCGTATGATTAATACTACCAAAAAATGTGTTTTACAGAACTGATTACCGATTTCGATATAAATGATGGTAAATATATACGATTATACTTGTATTATAACAATAATTTCACTATATCAACCTACATACATACCACCACTGGACATGGGTCTTCTCCACGCAGATAGGAAACTTCACATATTTTTGATAGGTTGAACCATCACGTGCACGTTTCCTTATAATGTTTTCGTTCACCGTTAAAGCAATTGAGCATTATTAATATCCATTGAAAGCAAGGAATAAATTGTAAGATCTACCATTTAATATGTACCCGTCAACTGGGGTGACTTTTAAATTACGGGGCGAATTGGATGATTCATATTTTTCTTGCATCATGTTCTATAACTTGTTAAACATTGAATTCAGCCGAAATCAATATATTTTTTTACTTTAGTAACTTCGGCTTTTTAGCCATCTTGTCTGGTTACAAGATATCGTAGGTTGTATGTAGGTAAAAATGTATATATATTTATATATGTATAAAATGTAGAATAATTTGTTAATCATTTGTGGAACATGTTGTTGGTTCATATTTAGTTATTTATTCTTATCAATGTTTGTTATATTTTTCTTGTTTAATATGTAACTGTTTGTGTTCTTCTTATAAATAAATAAATAAATAAATAAATAAATAAATAAATAAATAAATAAATATCTATGCTCTTGTATTATATATATGCATAGATATGAATTATTCACCCTATTTATTTATATGAATTATAGTTTTAATTTCAACCATTGACTTAAAATTATATGGACGTCGGGTCCGCGTTAAAAAGTGTCCGAACTTATAGGGCGTTAAAATCGTATACAGAGCGTCATTCACGCTTTAGTCTTCGTTTGTTCGACTGACAGCGAAGCAAGCAAAATTAGACAGTACTGCGATGACATTACAATTTAAATCTAACGTTTTAGCTTTTTATTATTCCTTTACATGTCACTACGTTTAAATAGGTTGAATTGGGACATTTTTTTCGTGGTTTTTGTATTAGACCCGTCGTCCATTTATTTGTAAGTCAATGATTTCAACTGAAAGTTACGTTGCATTTAAAAAAATATCGTATCGTCAAAAACATTGGAACGGGCTTTATTCCCCGATCGAAAATGTAAAATATTAAATACAGTTGAAAGGCTGCACTTATTTATTGCTTTTAAAGTTGCTACAGATTTATTATCGAACAGACCATAATTTATTTTACTGCAAAAACTTTGAAGACGAGTGTCGGTTTTTAAAATATGGTTTGAGAAATAAATATGTTGTTCGACATGGTAACGGAGTGTGTTAAAAATAAATCTAATTCCAAATAGGTAGACGGGTATCAACTTAATGTTTTTTTAATAACATCAAGTGACGGAACGAACAAGTCGTGAGCCTGATGGTAAGCTACGCTTGTCCATAACAGTTACAGTGCCACTCAGAGCTTTAAATTGCAAAGATCTGAGGAACACTGCCCCTGCGCCCGACACCCTGAGACGTAAATTGACAAGTTCCATGTGCCTGTAATTTCACCAGCACTCTTACGCTTCAAAACCGGACCGCAGTACTGCTCTTATTACTGCTTGGCGGCAGAAATAGGTAAAGTGGCAGTACTACCCTGGACGAACTCTTTCACAAGGAGCTCTGCTGCTACTAAATTAATTGAATTTCTCATAAGAATGGTAACAATAACAACAATATGTAATATATATATATGTAATGTCACTTCGGAGCAAATAAATCGAAAAATCTACTAGTCTACGCTTTAGTTAATTTGTTCAAAGCCAAATAATAGTTAAAAAACCTGATTGAATTGAATTTCTCATTAGAATGCTAATAATTAAAACAATGTATGTCACTTGGAAGCACATGAATAGGAAAATCTACTAGCCTACGTTTTGGTTAATTTGTTCAAATTCAGATAATAGTTAAAATATCGAGTTCGTAGGTTTTCGCGAGAAACTATTTTTCCGCATGTCAACCGTGTCAATCCCATGTCAACTTTACAGGTTAACCGTGACCATGGGACCTGTAAAGGGCCCGAAACGTTGGTTTGTTTGAAAAAACAAATGTACGCGATTTAAATTTGGAAAAATAGTTTCATTTCCTAATAGATAAAATGTTGAGCTATAAAACTATATTTAACAATCAGTACCATAATTTTATTAATTCCTGAATTATACTTTTTAATACACGCATGTCTCCATCAGACCAGTCATATCACTAGAAAGAGATTAGTGGTAGTAGAGCTCCTTGTGAAAGACTTCGGTCCAGAGATGTACTGCTACCTTACCTATTTCTGTACTGTCAGTATTACTGTATTCCGGTTTTGAAGGATAAAAGTGCTGGTGAATTTATAGGCACATGAGACTTGTCAATTTACGTCTCAGGGTGACGGGCGCACTGCAACTGTTATGGACAGGCGCGTTGCTCACCATCAGCGCACCACTCGTGCGTCCCGGGCCTTGATATATAAAAAAAAGATCAGGTTAAAGTGGTAACAATGAACAAGGGAAAGAGAAAGCAAATGAGACGGCTATTTTCTAATTAGAGGTTGAAAATTCGTATCCTTTTGGCAGTATGTATCTACTTATTACTTTAATTTCGAAGTTACGTGCATTTGTAAAACCTGCATTTCGAATAAGGTTCATAACTCTTGGACAACGTGTATAATCCCCAGACTGTACTGGAGCAGCGTGGCGAACTATGGCCTAAACTTTCTCATTAGAGGAGATCCATATCCAGAAGTGAGACGAGTTGTTAAAAAAGTACGAAGAGACTGATGCGAAAGAGGTTTGCCAGGAACGTAGCTTCTGGACATCCGTTGTCTCTGTTTACCCCAGTAATGATTTCCTTTATTCTCGGACTAGTCTTCACTACCTATGTAAGTTCCATGGCAATTTTTATTATTTAAGTATTCGGTTTTTTATCGTGCTATATTAATTAATATTCGAGTATTGTATCGTGAAATATTATTTAATAATTAGACGGTAATATACTTCAATATTTAAATAATAAAACTTGCCACGGAAATTTGGTAATGAACACTAATCCGAGAATGACCGATTTCATTTTCACAATTGAATTTGTAGTATTTTCTTTTATTTTTTAATGTTTTTATTTCAATATTTATGACATTTTTAATAGTGAGTATGATCTAACATGATGATATGTGAGTTTTTCGCTAAGTAAACAGGTTCCCCGTTGGAAATATTTGTCAAGGGAAGATACTATGGCTCCCTTAAGATCATACGATCATTTGAAGAATGACAAATGACTATAATATATTATTGTTTTTTATTAGACAACATAACATACATGGCTCTGATCCCAAAGTACGCAACTAAAGCATTTGTGTTGTGGAAATCGAAAACAAAGACGGTACCACAAGCATCCGTCCCGAGACAATATAGAATTTTTTTCTACTCTACATTAACCCGGCGGGAGATGGGACCTCAGATATTGCGACACCATGAAAACCGGCGTGCTAGCCACTCGACCATGGAGGTCATCAAATTATATTCTGATCCTTAGTGCTGCACCACATTTGTCACCACATTTCTCGACATTCAGTTGCATAATTTGGATGTATTTCAATTGCCTCTAAAAGAACACTATTTTGTCAAAGATTTGAGTTGATAGAATAGCGATCTATATACGTGTGGCACTGTGCTTAAATAATGGCAAACACTCGTGTTGTGTGTATAAATTATTTCAATTTGAGCAGCAAATGTAGTAATAGTACATTATTGCAGAGGCCGGGAAGTAAGGGATTGATGGACGAATATGAGTTACAAGGCCGAGTGCTAGTGAGGCCGTGTATTAATACGAGTCAAGCAATCCCCGTTCCTGCCGAGGCTTATATAGTGCTTTTCTCAAACAATGTGAGGAAGTAATAGAAGACTAAAGAGAAGAACATATACATATACATATAATAGAAAAATTAATAAAATATTAATTAAAAGTAATATTTGATATAGTTTTTCCTGGCACATTTAATAGTAGTCTGCTGAACTTTTGATTATGGTGGAATGTGTATCCATTACTGTGTTTTCGTTCTCGTTCTCACTGGAACTTATTTTCGCGACAAACATAGAAAAAAAACCCAAAAAAAAAACGGAAGAGAATACGATAGCACTTCATTTATTTTACCGCCTTTTTTAAAAAAAACAGGGGTACAGGTATTTTTAATTCTCTCAATTATGAACTCATACAGCCAAATGCTATTCTTTTGCTTATTTACATAGTTCATTATTAAAAGGTAGATTTAAAATTTTAGAGAAGTGGACAATAATGGATTTTTATACTTACTTTGCAGGCCTTGGCCGGGAAAAAGTCGCACAATCCGTAAATGACAAACTTCCTGTGTTCGTTTTTTGAAAGTAATTCTAACATTTTTGAGCATGTTTGAGAAAAAATAATTATTTTTGTCATGTTACCTGCAGGAACATTTCTCCGTCAGGCATTGCATGGTCGTAGGGCGAGTGCTCTCGCCTGTGCCCGTGCAGTTCTTCCTTTTCTTTGTGCATGACCACTAGAACAAAATAAAAAAATTGTGAAGCAATAAACACTTTTGTTGGCTTACATTGCTAGGTTTTAACAAGACTTATTTAAGGATAGACAATACATAACTATAAAGTATAAAGAAAAAAAATCACAATTTATTATTAATTAATTTATTAAATATCATGACGGTTTGGTGCTACGGTTTTCACGTATTATTTATAAAAATACTCTATCAAGTAATAAGTGAAGAAACTTCCTAAGACCCTCACAGGTGCAAGCACATAAAGAAATTCGCAAGATCTGCGGACCCGATCTGTAGCTCAGTTGGTAAGAGCAACAGACGCTGGTTCGAGTCTAGATAGGTCGAAGGAGTTTTATTTGTTTGTCCGATCTTTGTATCAATAATAATCACAACTCGTCATTTCATCATCATCATCATCAACAACTCATTTGTACGTCCCACTGCTGGGTACGGGTCTCCTCTCGGACGATGGTTTAGGCCGTAGACCGCCACACTCGCCCAATGCGGGTTGGGGACTTAACACGTTTTCTGGGGGTTATGAAGCTTCTTCCACGTGCAGGTTCCAACACGATGTTTTCCTTCCCCAAAAAGCTCATGATAAATTTCAAATTAAATTTCGCACATAATTCCGAGAAACTCAAAGGTGCCCGGATTCGAACCCACGACTCTCTGCTTGAGAGGCGTAGGTCAAACCATTAGGCTACCACTGCTTCGTTATTTGTCTAACAAGATTCCATTCTTCTATTTTACTAATAGCTTTAAAGATAAAACCTTCAGTAGCAGTAGAGCTACCTGTGAAAGAGTTCGTCCAGGGAAGTACTGTCATCTTACTTATTTTAACCGCCACGCAGTAATATGAGCATCACTGTGTTAATAATAATAACTCTTTATTGCACAAAGAAAAGATACATGAAACACAAGTTATAAAGGACATATATAAAGGTGTTCTGGTTTCGAAGGGTAAGGGTGCTGGTAAAATTACAAGCACATGGGACTTGTCAACTTATATCTCATGTGACAGGCATAGCGCCCTTAAAATCGTTACGATTGAAAGCTCTGAGTGGCACTGTGCAACTGTTGGATAGGCGTGTCGATTACCACCAGGCGCACAACTTGTTCGTGCCGTCGTTTGGTATTTTATTTTATTTTAGCTTATTGGCATTTAGGCCAATTATGGGTACTCACTGATAGAAAACAAAGAGTATTATAAAAGAAAAGATAAGAACTGCAAGTGATGGTTCACAACATTTTTCCAAAACTTGTAAAATCTCTATTCTAGCGCCGCGCCAGTACTAGTATTACGAGTAGTACCCACGCAAAGCCGTCAGAGACCTCTAATACAATATTACACATTCTTCTAACGAAAGTATGGACGTGTTCTTACCATTGTGTACTACAAAGTTTCGGTAATAATCAGAGATATTCAATCGCATATCGTTCCAAGTTTCTATATTTTTAAATACGAGCGTGTGTGGTAAATATAAAACACGTTCAATGCTGTTTATTTCAATAGTTAGAAGGCTAAACACCAGTTGTCTAGTTAATAATTATCATCACTATGTATATACGTTTGTATTTGAAATACCGAATAACTCTTTGTTTTATTGTTACGCGCGGATGAATTATATTACTTATAGTACGTTCGATATGTAATACAGTTTTCGAACGTCCATTTACTCCATAAACCTCTTTTAAGACGAGTTTTTTAAGTTCATGGCGGCATAGGTGCTAATTACCTAAATAAGTATTTATATGATTGTTGAACTCATGGTTTTGTAAGTTCTAATTGGGTGGGCGTGGCTTCAACGATGCGACAAATCACATCACGCCTTATTAAGTTAGGGATGCTGAAGCGGGGGATGGTCACAAATGTTTTTCAAAAATGAACTTTCTGACGATGTCTATAGCGTCTACTAATGGTTTACTATTTTAGTTGTATTTACTGGAACAAATAAACGTTGCCCCTGTGGTTTAATATACACGTAATTTTTGTTGTTTATCTTTCGAATATGATTGTACAGGTATATGTTTTTTCAGTGCTATAAGGTTTTTTTATGTAAGTAAAAAATGATTTCCTATTACGGTTCAAGTCAGTGAAGTAAGCAATGTTTCTAAGAACATAACATTACTGTTTAATCTACAATCAAAGAGCCGACAGCAAAAGTCATAGTAAGGCACTAGCAGTCTACTAATCAATACTTTTTATACAATGCATTTACCGTGAATTATTTTCCGAGAACTTTACACCACGTTACACTCACAGGGCGTAATAACAACAATTAAAAATGATTTTAAAGTGAAATAATTGTACATGTCACTACAGTCGAGTGGTCAGTCAAGCCGTAACCGGTGCAAAATTAACAGTACGATTTCAATGTTATTTACAAAATTGAGATGAAACAATAAATTTATACACAATACCAAAACAATTAACTGTAATGAATTATAAAAAAAAATTGAAGCGTTCTGTTTATAGGAAATGAAACTATTTTTCTGGATTTAAATCGCGTACTTATAATTGTTTTTTCAAAGAAACCAACGTTGAAAAAACAAATATACGCGATTTAAATCCGGAAAAATAGTTTCATTTCTTATGTATAACAATCGCGAAAACTTAAGATCTGGATGTGTTCGATTTATACTTAAAGTTCTTCAAAATTTGCACCGACATTACTTGTAGCGGAATTTTATATGACTATAATTAAGGATTTTTTTTTATTATTTGACTGTTGAATAAAAGTAAAAGCTCGGTATAACCAATGCGTGCAATCGTGTCCGGGTTCACGTCCATATTGTATCTCATGTGTTTGTCATACGTCGTGTTTAGTAGGTATGCTATACGATATTAATACGAGCTATAACACAAAGATACCTCTAATGAATAGCTCATATTATTACGATATATGAGCTATGCAAAAAAGATACCTCTTGCATGAGTATATGATTGTATTAAGATAAAATAGCTATACACAATGATATCTCTTTCATGAGATTAGTGTTGATAGTCGCTAACGAACGCAAGAAATACATACATTTTTTATATGGTATACTGTACACCGCTCCTACCGACTGTGAATTTAATACTAATATTTTCCATACAAACGATCTAGTAAAATGTTTAGAGGCATTCATTGAGATAACTAATGTTGTTGCGCGACTGTACTCGGTATTTTAACCAGTTATAATGCTGTGATATTCCTATGGAACCAAACATTTGGATAAGTGTTGTTGTTATAATTTCCAAAAATATAGTATTAGTAGTTTAATGTCGCACATTGCAGTCAATGCCGCGTCTGTGTACGACTACTTTTCTGAACTGGTGAATAACGCTTAAGAATGCCTCCATTCCAGACGAATGAAAGGTTGGCTACATAATTACCGGGCTCTTTGCAGAACGATTAAACATAGTGTAAAAATGACATAGTAAACAAACTCGTTCGTCTGTTAAGATTCCACAAACCAATGTGTTTAGGGTCAAAGACGGAGCTACGATGTATTCATATTTCATATGATGAGCCACGCAATGCTAATGCTCATATATCCTATAACTATTAAAACCTATTGAGTAGTAAAAGCCTTTAATAGATAGTCACAGTTCACATAATTTTGTGTGATAACCATCTATCGTATATAATTTTTTTTTAATACAACTGAGGTGCTAACGCAAAAAATAATAATATGTTTTATTTTTTACCATTGTTTTTACCCAAAACGTCTTAATAAACGATTTATTATTAAAAAAAAAATTATTTATTGAACATCATGATGTTTTACTACACTAGTTGTGTTATGATCATTGACATAAAGATTGAAAACACAAAGAAAAATTCCAAACAAAGAACAATATTTATTTTAACCAGTTGCTATTAAAAATTTGAGTCGATCGGGTGTGCTTTTCATTTTCCTCCGCCAGCAAGTGCTGTCAGAAGATGTTTTTGATGCTTAAATAATAATGCTCCCTTACTCAGCAGTTACTTATACAACTGCTTTGATTTTGATTTTGATTTTGCTTATGGGACGAAATGGCGGTACAGGTCCATACGGATGTGCTGCAACACCGTTAAGCTGAAATGAAGTCCAACCTGCCGCCTTTTTAAAAGCGCGTAATTTGTTTCGCAGCAATCATGTCTTATGCCAATCGACCCGCCGCAGTCAGGGTCCTTTATTCCTGACCGCTGGCCTGTCTACCCCGTTTTGTACAACCGTAGCGGCGATAAATTTCGGCGATATCGTTCTCTAAGAGCCTTGGCGGTAACGCTCTATAAGCTAACGAATAAAGATGCTCACTCTCTGGCTCACTTACGATCTTACTCCCGGCTTTTAAGGTTTGAGAAGTACCGCTGATGCCACAGATGGACTCATACTTATATCGCATTCGGGAATCTGTACTATATTACTGATGTGCCCGTATCTTCAAGTCTGTCACTACCATTTATGCGATACGCTGGCTTGTGTCTTGCCAGCCGTTGATCTTGCGCCCGTGCTCTAAACCTATTCTCATTCTCTGCGGTTAATGTTTGTAACATTGCTCAAGCGATCGCAAGGTTCGGCCATTTTCAGGCTTGTGTGTGCTCGTCGCCAAGGTTACGTCCATGCTTTACACTTTCGCAGTTACCAGTGTGCAATTGCTCGGCGCAATTGTCGTGCCCAGTGACCTCTGACAGGTTTTTAGCTGACATAACAAGCCACAACAATCATGACATAATAATCTTCAAAATCGGTCATTCACATTATTACGTTTATTTCATACAGAGGTGGCCGTTTCGCCGACGTAAATGTTTTACAAACATTTTTTAATAACAAAAATTTTTTGCTATTAATTTTATTAAAAATTTGAACTACTTGGATTCCTTTTTTAAAATTTTCTTCACTAACAATCATTTAAAATAGGGTTAGATACTGCACTAAAATCTATTAGTTATACTATGTTCTACAATGGAAACAAACAGCGACGTTTAATTACACATTACGTACAAAATATACGGTCCACATAATGGATGGACTAG